AGAGATAAAGAAATTTCCTCTTGCAGGTGGTAAGTCTGAGGTATCACAGAAAGGTATGAAGCAGATGAGTCAAACTTGTGTCAAAGCTGATTGAGAGCAACCTATTGGAGCCATCAAAGAAAATAGCTGTGTGCCCCAACAGAAGCCTGGGAAGACAAGCTCTGAGCAATAGGACTGGAAGTAGAGCCTGTTGGTAGACATTAGACAGGGACAGAAATATGAAACAGGCTCCACATGGCAGAAAAGGTTCGCTAAGCAAAGGGGGTGTTTCCCAGCCAGCTTCTAATATAAGCAATAACACCAGAGGGTCTTGTCTCTGCCAACTTATGGCATATATAGAGAAAGGGAAAAACATCTCAGCAATGCAGGGACACTTCTAGCGACACCCTAGCTCTTCATGGGCTTCAGCAGATCCAACAGGGTTCTCCTAGGATGGATCTCAGAGGGAGAAGAATAGATCTGTTGGGAAGCATCATGGGGACAAACCTGAGGACATTAGAAATCCTACCTGAGCTGAAACAGAGCAGAGCACATGGCTGTAAGGATGTCATGCATCCTTACATGCTCTACCCCGCCCCCCCCAAAGTTCCCAAAGCTTCTGGTCTCACTTGGAAAGACAACCTAATCTTTCAGTCTGTTCTTAGACCCAGAAGGGAACCTGTGCCTGCCCACTAAGTCACACAGGTGAAGCCCACAGCTGCATGAACTGCCCAGGGGAAAGCTGCCAGGGGGAATCATACCAGGGGCTCAAATGGCAGTGCCCCAAACTCTCCTAGAGAGCTTGCTAAAAATGCAGCTGTCCAGAGCCACCACCGGACATCTGTATATTTAATGCCTGTGGTCTAAGAACCACTGACACATGATTGCTGAGTTAGTTCTCTGCAGCTACACAGTCTTCTTAGGCCAAGACTACCTGGAAAGATGAAACAACAAAACAAAAACAACAAAAATCAATGTCCTGTTGCCAGAAACTGTGAGTTCATTGGCCTTGGGTGGGCACTGGTGGTTTTTGTTAATTCCCAGGTGGTCCGAGAATATGGCCAATGTTGAAAGTCCAGACCTCCATTTATACCAATATTCCAAATTGTTGGTAATATGAAGGACTGTTCTGAGCTGTGGTTTGAACAATAAAACGATGATCAGGAAGACCAATCCTGTGATCAACGACCTTTGATGAACAGACTAGATGGCAGAAATAGAGTAGAGATAGGAAAATATGAAGATAGAAAATAGAGGAAAAAATCTTATCATATCTTCACAAGGTTCAGTAGAGTACAGCAGGCTGCTAAGCCAAAAACACAACAAAAAATATGCAGACATTTGGAAATAAAAAACACGGTGTTGACCACCCCTTTCAACACTCAGTAGGGAAAGAAAAACTCATTATAGGATGAAATCACAGAATGGACACTCTTGAAACCCAAGCTGGGGACTCTGAAGAGCAACTCCAGAAATTCTATCATTTTAATATAGAATGAAAAGACCAGGGCTGGAGTGTAGCTCAGTGATAGAGTGCTTGACTAGAAAAAAAAGACTAAAGATGGAAATTATAATTGAGAAAATATAAGAGGTATGGCAGTTCCATTCCAAAGGCCCAGAATTCTTATGAAAGGATTTCCTGGAGAGAAAGGAGAGAGTGGGAAAACAAGAGGCAATAATAAAAAAGAAAGAAGAAAGAAAAGTTAAAGAAAGATTTAACTTCTTGGATCAGAATGGAAAGAGACTACCTCGGTCACATGAGAAATGTAAGTAAAAAGGTAGAACTTCTTGTTTACATATTATTTATTTTTAAGGTGATATTCCAACCAAAATGTTGGAATATATATATGTATATTAATATAAATATATTAAGTGGCCAGGCATTGGTGGTTCACACTTGTAATTCTAGCTACTTGGGAGATTGAGATTGGAAGAATTACAGTTTGAGGCCAGTCTGAGTAAAAAGTTCAGGAGACCTCATCTTAACCAATAGCTGGGCATGGTAGTGCATGCCTGTCATGCCAGCAACATGGGAAGTGTATATAGAAGGATCACAGTCTAATCTAGGCCAGCCTGGGCAAAAAGGAAGATCTTACGTCAAAAATAACCAGAGCAAAAGGGGCTGGCAGCATGCTTAAGTGGCAAAGAGCCTGCCTAGCAAGTGCAAAGCCCTGAGTTCAAACCTCAGTACCACCAAAAAAACCAAAATAAACAAACAAAAAAACACCCCAACATATTATGTGGCCATGTTTGGGAAAGAATTGGATGTGAAGGAAGTGAAGGGAAACATCTAGTTTTAATGTTTTACTATTACTTAATGCTACCAGAGATTGAACTCAAGGCCTCAGCTTGGTAGGCAAGTGTTCTCCACTTGGGCCACACCCCCTAGTCCTTTTGCCTTTAGTTTGTTTATCAGATAGGGTCTTGAGATTTTGCCCAGGTAGACCTTGGACTGTGATTCTCCTGTCTCTGTCTTCCAAGTATCACCTTTTTCTTTTTGGCAGTACTGGGGTTTGAACTCAGGGCCTGGTGCTTGCCAGACAAGTACTCTACCACTTAATCCACATTCCAGTCCTTGACATTTTGAATTAAAACACTTAAAAATAACTATGACTATAATAGAAACTATAGTTTAAAAACGGACCAATACAAAATTTGACTTAGTAAAGCAAAAGTCAGGGAAGGGAAAAAGAAACAAAAAGAAAGAAGGAAACTTAGCAATCATAAAATATCAGGAAACAGATAAATATAAGTAAACTTATATAAGTAAGTAAACTTTATATAAGATAAATATAGTAAACTTTTCTATTCCAATATCCAAAGCAAAACATGTCTCTAAAAAATGGGCAAAGAACACAAGAACCAGCAAGTCACAAAAGAATGAGCACCTAATAACCATGTGAAAAGACTCTAAAGTACATTAATTAAAAAAAATAGAAACTAAACTGAGATTCGTTTTAGCCTGTGAGCTTTGTAAAGTTGAAAAGCTTCTGAATGCTTGGGCTGGCAAGGCTGTGGGGAAAGGGCACTCTGAAACCAAGGGCATGAACAACTGTGCTGTGTTTTTGCTCAAGAGAAATCTGGGCCCATGAGCTACAATTAAAACAGGCTATCATTCCTAGCAATTCTACTTCTAGAAAATTATACTGAAAAATAACTGGACCTGTGTAAGGAATGTTTCTTGAATCTTTGTGTTATAAAAAAAAGAGTCATGACTTAAATATTTATGACCCACGGGTTGGTTAAATACATTTTACTTCCCTCATGCCAGGGATATTATGGAGATAACAAAAGTATGGCTCTAAATCTGTTTATGTGGAAAGATTGTCATGCTAACTAAAAAAACATTGGAATATATCTATATTTGCATATATATACATTTATGCATACCTATATATAATGAACCCAATTATGCTGAAAAGTTGTATATTTTATATGCATAAGAATCTAAAGAGACACTTAATCAGAAGTTCCCAAACTTTCTGAGTTCACGGCCCCCTTAGTATCTCAGGAGCTTTGGTACTCTTGGGCCAAAAGAAATACCTAACACTTTTATCAAGATCAGGACCAATCAACTTAATATTCAGTTATGTCTTAGCAACTTATTGCCATGTGAAATACACATAAACTGAAAGAAAAATAATTTTTAAATTTCATTTATAAGTGGCTCCAGGGTGCACCTATTGGGCACTGCGTGTTTTCTCAAACTTTAAAATCAGATTGGACTCTCTGGTTTTCCTATTCCTAGTCCTAGTCCTTGTTCATTTTTGCATAGTATTCACTTTTTATCCTAGCAATTGCTCTGAAAACCTACACACGCAAAGATGGAACTTCACAGAAAAGGAAGAGGTGTGCTCTGATGTGGACACTGGCCTACCCCAAGCCATAGTTCACACAGTATTTGACACACATGTCAGACATGTCCTTCAGCAATTCACACTCCCTTGTGCTAACACTAGGAGCTACTTGCAGTTCTCTGGGGTACCCTGGTGCAGTTTGGGAACCAGATTATCAGAATATTCAAAGGTTCTTCCTGGAAGGTAAGAGTAGGTTGGGGGAAGAGGGGGGTTTCTTCTTCTTCTTTATGCACATCTACAGTTTTTTTTTTTTTTTGGTGGTACTGGGGCTTGAACTCAGGGCCTCATGCTTGCTCAAACACTTGAGTCACTCTACCAGCCCTTATGCACATCTAGATGGCGTGAATTTTTTACAGCAAGCATCTATGACTTTTGTTAGTGTTTATAAGGTTTTTCCATTTCAGGGAAAGATGCCAAAAAGAAAGGGAATGTGAGAGTGACAGCTAATGAAAAAAGAAAGAAGTGGTCCACCTGATTGTAGACCACACGGAGCTGTCTGTGTGGCTTTTTCTGTAATTGTGAAAGGTCCCTGTATCCCTCTGGGCTTCGGTTTCTCTGCTATTAAGTCACTACACGTGCCTCCTTCCCAGGGCATGGCTACTGGATGATGGAATCACTGCTGCCAAGTGCTCCAGAAGAGCAGAGGGATGAAAACCACAGCTTTGGTGCTCTTTTCTCAGGTTCCAATCCCAGTGCTGCTGTGGACTGGCTGTGTGACCCTTGGGCAAGTTCATTAACTATGCTGTGCCTCAGTTTCCTCATCTGCTCCATGGTAAGAAGAATAAGCTTTACTTGCTGAGGGGCTTCAATGGAAGGCACTTCCTGTGTGGTGTGGCCAGTACAGAGAAAGTACTGGTAAGCGGTGTTGTTACTGTCTAATATGAAGACAATAAATTGGGCCACAGATTCTTCCCTTCCAGCACTCAGAACTAAGAAATGGTGAGACTGTCCCAGGTGTCAGGCTGTACAAAGGGTCAGAGAGAGTCAGAGGGCAGTCACAAAGGACCCACGTTCAAATATAAGGAGGTAGAAACCATGACCAAAAAACTAGAGGTAACTTCAAGGGTTTCTGTCAAATGAAGACACAGAATAAGGTAATCTCCTGACCTCATGGATTCCTGTTTACATCCCTCCCACTCCCAAACCGTAAAACAGTTTTGTTACCTCATCTCTATGTCCCATAGAGTGATGTCATCGCTGATCCAAGGGTTAGATGGTTCTGCTGGCGTAATGAAAGGATCGTATTCCACGTACTGTTCCGTGTAAGCAATTAAACTGCGGGGGGGTGGGGGAAGCAGAGCAAAAGTGCCACTAATTTCCTGGAAAAACTTTAACTCTTTCACACAGATACAATAGCAGTTTTCCTAGAGTTGAAAATTAAATGAAAAAATATTCCCACCCCATTTCTGACAAATCAAACTCTTCTCATCCGTCCTTGTCCCCTTCTTGTTATGAAATATGTCAGTTTTCATTTGTTGCAGTCTTAGTAGACATATGCATTTTATGTGTTTTTTTTGCCAGTTAGTGTTTTACCGGAGCCTTGGTGCATCTCTTCCTGTTGATGCCAGCCTTGCTGATACGCTACTCCAAACCTGTTTGTGTGCTACCCTGCTATGAAGACTAGGGATCTCAGAGGAGACACCACCGTTCCACCAGATGCCTAGCATTCCCCGCTGGCTGACTTCCTTATTGTAAAGGCTTTGAAATCCTAGCAAGCCACAAGGAGTTCATGTACATGTTATTCCAAAAAGTAACTTAGTTTTTCTAGTTATAATTATATTCAAATAGATCTGAATAGATAATACACACCTGAAGACAGTCAAAACAACCGCATGGCACTTGATTATACTTTTATGTGCAAAAAAGCAAAAGCAATGGCTTTCCTCATATCTTTTCACAGAAACAGGTTTCTTTACCTGCATGTTTCTAAATTGCATATTGTTGTAGCTGCTCTTGACCTGCTGATTTAAGGTAAGGCTTTACTTTCTACTCACTGGCCCCCAAGGCCCCATTCCCTGCTCTCCAGAGAAAGTCCAAATAAATTCATTGAATAGTTTTTGTTAAATCAATGGCCAGTTGTCCTCATTACTCAACCAGATAAAATTATATACTGTTTAGTTTAGAAGCATGCTATTTTTTCAAGTGTTTTAACACCCCTGTTAAAGCGTCTAGTAATTTCTCCCTTCATCTTAAACATACTGCATAATTGATCGGTTCTATCTGTTTTCTCCTGGTAGTTCTTTCCCCACAGCTTTTAGTTGTCTTGCTCCTGTCTGGATCACATGCTCTCTAGGCCTCATGCAAAATCCTCGCCCTGGGACTTTCATCCTTTCTGTGTTGAGCCATGTTTCCTGGATTCCATGTCTGGCTCTTGGTTTTACTCTTTGGTTGTGTTGAAACACATCCTTCAGCAGTTTTCTAACAAAGTATGCATGAGAGCTAATTATTTTCAGTCTTTGTAAGTCAAAAATGCTTTTATTTTTATCTCCATATTTGACTGATAGTACTGGTCCTAGATTGTTAGGTTAAAAATCATTTTCCTTCAGAATTTTGAAGGCATTACTGAACTTTTTGGCACCAGTACGGTTATTGAGAACTTGGGATCCATTTTGACTCTTAGTTTTTTGTTTGTTTTTTTTCTCTCTGTCAACTCAGAACCTTCTCTTTATTGCCATAGTGCTCTGAAATTTCATGATGGCACCTTGCTTGTTGTTTTTCATTCACTGTGCTGGGCTCAATATGTAATAAATGAAAAAAAATTTTCCAGAAATTTTATATTATTTCTTTGCTAGCCTCATATCCTTCTTTCCTCTGTTTTCTTGCTTTGCAATTATTTTTAGTTAAATATTGGGATATATATCTTGAATTGTAAGTCTAATTTTCTCTCCTATTTTTCATCTGCTTGTCTTTTAGTTTGACTATCTTTTGACCTATTTATTTAGATTTATATTTGGGCTGACACTCTTACTGTTCAGAGTATCAAGTTTCTTGTATAGATAAAATAGCTTTTCTTCTTTTTGTGGTACTAAGGTTTGAACTCAGGGCCTCATGCTTGCTAGGCAGGCACTCTACCACTTGAGCCACTCTGCCAGCCCTTTTTTGTGTTGGGTATTTTTGACATAGGGTCTCTTTTTTGAGATATTTGCCTGGGCAGCCTCGAAGTGCGATCCTCCTGATCTCTGCTTCCTGAGAGCTCAGAAAACAGGCATGAATCACTGGCGTCCGGCTATGAAATAACTTCTTACATCTCACTGGATACTTACTATGTGTTTTTATTGTAAATTTCTTGTTCATTGCATTGTTTTGAGTTCCTCCAAGTTCCTTTTTTTCTGTTTTTTTTTTAGGTAAAAATGATGCTCTTTCACACTATGACTTTCCTTGAATATCTGAAAAGTCTTTGGACATCCATTTGTGCTTAAGAGTGAAGTACTGGAACTTCCTTAGCGGGTCAGTGTGTGTGTGGACAGAGCTTGTCAACTGGTTTGTGGTTGGATTGTGGTGCCAGTCTTTTCTCTAGGGCGCAAACGAGGAATCTGGAGCTTTTTTTCTGGGAACATCTATTTTTCTCTAAGCAGGGGTCAGCAAGTTTTTTCTTTAAGGTCTAGGTAGTTAATATTTTAGGATTTATGGGCCACATAGTATCTGTTGCAATTACTCTGCTTTTCTTTGTGGCAGAAGTATAGACTATTCACAAATGAATGTGTATGTGACTGTGTTCCAATAAAACTTCACTTGCAAGAACAGAGAATGGAGTAGGTTTGGTGCACAGGTTGTAGTTTGACAGTCTCTTGCCTGCAAGTGTATATATCTGATTTCTGGAGACCTGACAGAGGGCAGGGGAGGGGCTCAGAACACAATACCCAAAAGTATGGCACCTTGGCATAATGAGCACTTTGAGTTAAAGGAGACTAAAGAACCTCAGTGCAAGGTCTTTCTGACCTCCTGCCTTCCTGTCTCCAACCCTTTTTCCTCCCCTGAAGTGAGTCATAGAAACCAGAATTCCTCTTCTCTAAGGCAGGTCGTACAGCCATAAGCCAAAGGAAGACATACAACCTAGAAAGGCCACCCATTCCCTTCTTCCCTGATGACTCTCATTCTGGAGGAATCCTGCCCTGTACCCAGGAGGAAGGAATGCTACATAGAGAGGCAAAGGAGAATCTGAACAGACAGGCCTTGCTGGTTTCTGTCCTTAGTCTTTTACCATCCAATCATACACATTTCACATGGCTGTCCATTCTTCACAAAACCTAAGCAGAAAAACAACTTTCCCTGGGTCTTTGGGTCTTCTTTCTTGAAGGCTCCATGTCATGTAGAACTTTGATTAAATACATTTGCTGTGCTTTTCTCTTGTTAACCCGTCTTTGTTATAGGAGTGTTGGCCTTGAGCCTTATGGGATGAGTGAGAAAAGGTATCACCCCTTTCCATCCTTGCTGGTCCCATAATTCAGCACATAGAGATTCCACTACTTCTCTTGTTTTCACCTGGCCCCTTATGATATCTGAGGTGCACAAGTTTTGAGGTTACGTGGCTCAGTTTCTCCAGAGATTAATCTGTGCATCTCTTATGGTGGTGGTGAATAGGGAGAGATTGTGTTCTAGATGGGTCAGAGATCGAGGGACCCAAAGTCTCCAGAGGCCAACTTGGCCCATTCTACTGCTGGCAGCCTCTTCCCTTGCTTTGTCATTCATGGCCCCACTGCCTTCAAGAGCCAGGGCCAGCTTCTGTTGGGTAAATGGGCTTACTCAGTTTAACATTTCTGCTCCCAGCACAGGCACACAATGATCTTCACTCTAGCTCCACATAATTTCTTTTTGATTAAATTTCAGGTTTCAGAAAGGTAGAAAATCGTCAGAGCTGGGCATGATGGTTCACACCTGTAATACCTGCATTCTGAAGGCTAAGGCAGAAGGATCATGAGTTCAAGGCCAGCCTGGGCCATGTTAGCAAGGCTGTGTCTCAAAAACAAACAAAAACAAGCCAAAACTCCAGACATTGTAAGAAACCACCTTTGTACTCACTGCCCAATTGAAAAAGTTTAACATTATAAATCAAGAAAAGGGGGCCTGTGGTTATGTTCTCCAATTCCATAGATTTTTCTATCTCAGAAAAATGAGACAGAAACCATTAGTCTGTTAATTTGTTGAGATTATAAGTTCATACCATTTTTATTCTTTGGGGTGGGGGAAGAGAGATGACAAACATGTCCACCATATTGTCTTGGTTGACTTTCAGGGTCAATTAGCTTAATAAAGAAACTGGAAAGACCTTCAGCAGAGGCTCCATCTCATTGCCACTGAGTGTGGGTCACAAGCAGCAGCACAGGTGATACCACTCCTGGGCATATATCCAAAGGAATGTGCTCCAGGATATGACAGAGCCACCTGCATGCCCATGTTTATTACAGCACTATTCACAATAGCCAAGCCTTGGAAACAGTCCAAATGGCCTATAACTGGTGAATGGATTAATAAAATGTGGTAATGTACACAATGGAGTTTTACCCAGCCATAAAGAAGAATGGAATTATGTTGCTGGCAGGTAAATGGATGGAACTGGAGAGCATGATGTTAAGCAAAATAAGTCAGGCTCAAAAACTACCCTTATAGATTAGACTTTGAACATATGATAAAAGCGAGAGCACAAAAGGGAGGGATGAGGATAGGTAAGACACCTAAAAAATTAGCTAGCATTTGTTGCCCTTAACTCAGAGAAACTAAAGCAGATACCTTAAAAGCAACTGAGGCCAATAGGAAAAGGGGACCAGGAACTAGAGAAAAGGTTAGATCAAAAAGAATTAACCTAGAAGGTAACACCCACGCATAGGAAATCAATGTGAGTCAACTCCCTGTATAGCTATCCTTATCTCAACCAGCAAAAACCCTTGTTCCTTCCTATTATTGCTTATACTCTCTCTTCAACAAAATTAGAAATAAGGGCAAAATAGTTTCTGCTGGGTATTGAGGGGGTGGGGGGGAGAGAGAGGGGGGGAGTGGATGGTAAGGGAGGGGGTGGGGGCAGGGGGGAGAAATGAACCAAGCCTTGTATGCACATATGAATAATAAAATAATAAAAAAAAAACAAAAAAAACTACCCTTATATGTGGAAGCTAGACCCATAAGATAAATGTACACATAAACACATGTATGATCATATATATATTTAGTGAGCAAGAGGACAATATTGTATTAGTGGGTCTGTTTGAGGGGACTATGGGAAAGAAATGTTAGGGAATGAAAAATATTGAAGCATCCCAGCTATATATAGATATAATATA